TTGTGCATACGCGCGTATGCACAGGCCGAATGCTTGAAGGTCGTTAGTGGGTCGCCCAAAATGGCTCGGTCGTCAACGTGCTAATACCGCACACTTCACCGCACAGAATGTTGCGCACCCAGACCTGGCGATATGTAGATCGCAATGCGTTCTATAGCTACGCACAAACAATGTGAACTTTGAATAGAGACTGGAAAAATTAAATTGGCGAAATTTGGCGTTTTCCGAAAACTAGCGACTTTCGAAAATTTTTAGGGTTGTAAGCCAAATGAAGCTGTTAGCAAGCTAGACTAAGCACAAGGATCCGAAACTGTGTGCAAATTTTTGCTAAAAGTTGATTTAGTTCGCTTGATAGGAAAGAAATGAAATTAAAAGGATCGAGATTTGACGCCCTCACTAAGTTGACCGAGCCGCTCGCTGTACGCAAGGCTGCTGGGACAACCGTCAATAACTATGGGGACGGAAGCCCAATCTTCACGAGTTAATTCCAGCTAGCCTTTGTCTTTGAGGTAATCAAACAACTTGCCGGTCTCCTACCAATAGTCCTACAGAAACAGCTGTTGCTTAGTTGCGAAGGACTAAAACTTACTTCGCAAACGCTTTCTCCAGAAGGGCGGACCAGAACTCATTCGGCGTCTTTGACCGTGCGAAAAGCAAACTGCCATCTCTTGAATAGTAGTGCGTGATATGTATATAGCATCGTAACAGCACAGTGTTCACCTTGTAGGTAAAAGGTCATCTATGACCACCTCCACCCATCTTCCAAATCTCCAGAATCGAAATCGGAACACTCCCGCGTAACTATTTTTCACGCTCCATTCTTGTGAATCTGCATCGGGTATCACCTAAGCAGATAACATCATCTTGTAGGTCAGCGAAGTAAGCCTTTGATATTGAGATTTGATCTTTCACACCCTGTTCAAAAGATGCTGGTTGTGTGTCAGAGCGGAACATGCGGAGACGAACCAACAATTTCCCAATATACCTTGGGTGACATCGTTTGGTGAAGCTCCTTCAACGAAAAGATGTGGATCGTTATGAAGTTCCTTAAAGATGAAATTTGAGAAATGTTGAAACAAAAATCCATTACAACCCCTCTCCCCTTCTCTAGCAACTTTAGTGGATGCAAAACAGACACCATTACCCTTCAGGATTGCGTAACTAACTTGTCATAATTCAACGACAGGTTACAGATTTGAAAAGCATATTAGAGTGTTTTATTAAACCAAATGACAG